CTGTGTGATGACAAAAATATTTAAAAAAGACAAAACATGTGTTTTGTCTTATTTGGACAAGGTCCAAAATCTGGTTTTCTTCAACATGATTTTATTAGGTATATTATACACTGTTCTGCTGGAGGAGAACAGCATATGGCTGAACAGTACAACTTAATCCTAACTAAAGATTTCCTGTATGTACTGTAACCTAATACAATGACAGATGCACACTTGCATGTGTGTGGAAGGTTAACACTCCGATTTTGTTTTCAACAAATTTTCTCTGCCCATTTACATCATATCACTGGAACAAGGGAAAAACCCAAGAGCTGAGAGGCAGGGGATGACAGCCTGTGCTGTGGTGCCCTCTATTGAGCATCCAGCCCCTCAGCCCCAGCCCACAGCAAACAAAGCCCTGGTTTCCTCTTTAAAACTATGTATGACTATGTTTCCTCCTTCATTTTTCATAAGGGAGGAAATGTTACTGATATCAAGCAACTGTGAAGCAACTGTTTGGTATCTGATAATGCGTGCGTTTAGGAAAAGATTAAGTGACACACGCCTGCTACACATTATTCACTCACCAGATAGGAAATATTAGCAAGGCTTCACTGGAAAGAGGCAACCATCACTTGCACAAGGAAATTCCACCTGCCCCACAGCCATCAATGCTCCTGCCTGAGCCGCTGGCAGGAGCAAGCTGGCATCCATCTCTTTTGGAGCCAGTCTGCCACTTTCCATATTCTTATGCAAACACACAGTGGAGATACTTCTGGAAGAGTACTCTGACCCTGCACCAGCTGCTGCTTGCAGGACTGCAGTGGGGAAGGCAGGGAGGTAGGAGGAAGGCGGCAAAACTAGTCACCTTCAAAGAATGGCTCTGCCTTAGGCAGCTGAGTTTTGGGTGGTTTGCTCACTCCAGCATCAAGTGAGCCCGATGCATGGCCATCCAGAGCAGCAACACTGTGGATGCCCTTCATCTCCTGTGGATCCAAGTCCTTATTTTCACAAAAATCGTTAGTACATCTTCCACCCCATCATAAACTGCATGTCTGAAAACTAATTGAAGAGTACTCCTTTTCCCTAAATCACATAAATTTTTGGGATCCAACTATATTCAATTTAAAAAAAAAAAGTCTTCAGTGATTGAACCCACCTTCATTCAAAATGGGTTTGTTGATTAGTTTTCTCATAAGCAAACTCAAATGATCTTCTGTGAGGGTAATCTAAATCCCAAAGTTAAACCTGCACAGCTACTAAGGGATACTTACCAGGAAAACCACAATTTTCCTTATTCTTACCAAGTAATTCATAATTGAAAAGGGGCTAGCTGACTTCCGTTAATGCAAATGGCCTCCTGAAATATTAAATTACGCCCAGATAAGAAGTGAGCTTTACAGCTCTTCATCACTCAGAGATAATAACCTGTAAGACAAGTAAGATTTTACTCTGCACTTGTGCAGTAAAGCCAAATCAAAATACGACACCTGTTTCCAGATTTCACCGAAGTCTAGTACTTTGCTTAACTTTCCAGCTGTTGGCCTAATTCTCATGGTACTGTGCTCAGCACAGAGAGGTTTCACGAAGGCTCGAAGTACACACCTTGCCCTATGCTAACTCATCTTGGCATGATACGTGAAAGACGACGAGAGAACTCCATAGCCATCCACATAGAGAGGGAATATGGAGGTGTTCCCAGGGCCAGAAGCTGAGTACCAGAGAGCCTCCAGTTGCTCGATCATTATTCCTCAGGCATGTGACTCCTGCCTGAGCAGATGCTACACCAACAGACACAGGGCACAAACCAAGACTCTGAAAGACCTACACCCCCGTTTTAGGGATGGCTTGAATCCTGATAATGTCAGAAGGCACCAAGTGCAGAGAAGAGCTGAGGTTCCAGCACCACATATGGGCATTTAAAAACATTACCTGTGAACCTCTCTCTTGACAGGTCCACTTAAGATTTGAATCCCGTTTCTTCCCACTGCTACAAAGAAACACCAGTGGAGCTGCAAGCTTGTGCACAGTGATTGCTGCAATGCTGGGGTAAACAGAGCTGTCTGCTTTGCTGTTCTGGGTTACATCCCCATGCAATTACAGTCCTTTCCTACTGCCTTTCTAACATACCAGGAAGGTCCTGCTTCACCTGGCATCACCACGCCACAGAACATGCAACATCCAGACACAGAGCTTCAATAAAGTCAAATGTGTGTATATATATGTGTAATATAGTATACTGTACATATATAAATATACAACATGTATATACATATATACACGTGCATATATACTATAGGTATTATACATATATAATATGTATTATATATGTGTATTCTACATATACTATGCCTACATATTATATATACCTATATACCTACATATTATACCATATTATGCCTATATATTATATAGGTATATTACATACACACACACACTCATACGCTTGTTAAGGAGTTCCACAAATTCAGTTTCAGAGCAGGAATCATAACTTTTGTTTCAGACTCAGAAAATAGGGGGTAAAAGCAGCATGGCAGTGTAGCTGAGCCAGGAGGAAGGTGCCTTCCGTGAGTAGCAGCAGCAGCACAGAGGTGCCAACCAGCAGAGGGCAATGGTACAGCACACAAGGTGCCAAGCCAATTCATCACAACACAGTCCCTGAAAATTCCTTCCAACTGTTCCCCAGGGCTAAGACAAAGCTGACACCTTTCTAAACAGCATTCACGTTCAAACATTTAAATCATTACCTTACAACAGAGATGCCTCTTTTCCCACTCCTCGACTAACAGCAGCAAGGTGAAACACTCCACATGCTGTCATTTTTTGCCATCAGTACCCACTTAAGCTACAAGCATCCACAAAATTAGAGCATGACGATGTGTTTTAAGAGAATCTACCTCTCTGTTTTTCCTTATGAAGCACTGAAAGTGGTTATGAACATTTTTACTAGACTGGCCTCTTTGCCACTTTAAAATGAGGCATTTTTGAAAGGATCTACTCCATGTGGCAGCACAGGTAAACTAGAACTGCTCAGACCCAGGGATCTAAGCTACCACACCCTTCGTATCATCATCAAAATACCTTTAGAAGCACAGTCATTCCATTTCACTGTTGTTCTTTCCTGAGGTGCAGAAAAAAACCCTCTGATCCCTTTCTGCTTTCCCTTTCCTGTCTCACATGCCTTCAACCAGTATTTATTGGCTGACCTTTTGGCCACAGATCCTATATAACTATACCAAATATTATTCCTGCAACAGTTAATTCTCTCTCTGCCTTCAGCTGTTAAGCCCAACAAATACACGTTGGTACCAATGATTTGTTGTCTGTTAGGGAGGCTTATAATACACTGACTGGAAAGAAGATGTGAATAGTCTCTACTTGCAGTGTTTTGCCATACTCTTACCCCAAGCAGCAGCTAAAGGCAGCCTTCATATCTATGCACAATTCCTGCCCCAGCAGCTGTGAGCAGCCTGCTCTCACACTGGCAGTGCCAGTGCACTACAAGAATGGCAGAGAAAAAAAACAGAAAATTACACCAACAGGGTCTCTACCACTGCAGAAGATGAAGAGGTTCAGTAGTGGGACTGTGGGATGCAGTGCTGAAACTCATACAGTACTCCCTTGTAACACAGGTCAGGCTGCAGCTAAACCTGATGAATGATTTTATACAGATTGCAGCTGTACTGAAAATGGTCACAGCTGCTAGAGCTTGCTTATGTTAGTAGGACTGGTAAACAAAGTAATTGGCATTATAGGGAACCTCTGTGTTAAGAGATCTCACTAGAGAATTTTCTCAGGCTCCCAGGGGTTCAGCCCACAAAGACACTAATTTTCCATGAACATAAAGAGGGAGAGAAGTCTGCTTATTTGTATGAGAATACCTAGTTCATTCTGAAAGCTCGAAATAGACATCATGGTGAGTTCCCAACCTCAGCACACATTTTGCAAAGGGACTTAAATCCAAAACTATTATTTACAAGCAAATCCAAAACTATTATTTATAACCAATGAAACGAAACACAGTGAAAAAGCCCCAGCTGAAGTTTCCTTATAACCAATAGAGCTGAAGTCACGTGTATGAAATATGACAGTGCAAATAAAAAATATAACCAAACGTGTAGCATGTACAGATAACCACACGGTGGCTCTCAAGTACCAGAGATGAGCTAATTTAAACCAGAAATTGATGACCTCATAAAAATTCCAAGAGCTCTAGGATAGGCTGTACTTACTTTTCCAGGAATTCTTGCAGACCCCGACGGCGATGGTCCACGTGATGAGGATTGTTCATATTGAAAAAGGGAGTTTTAGATGGCAGTTCAGGGAGCTGTCTTTATAAACAGTGAGAAAATACACAGTTAAAACCAAATGTGAAGCAACAGAGAAAAATGCAATAAGCAAATGCCAACCCCAACATGCAAAAATCACGGGTCATGTTCCAGAAGCTCTTGAAATCAAACTTGGGAACACTAGGTTGAGAAACTGGAGGGCTTCTGACACACCTCAAAGAGAAAAATAAATTAATCTGATTTTTCTGGTCCAGTTGTTCAGCCTGCATGCATGTCTGGCTGGGTTTCTTATGGTACTTGCAACACCTAAGCACAACCTAGAAGCACTGAGAGGAGGTATACATACCTATGCTAGACTGCTATTTCTGCTACCTGTGCATAGCAAAAGCAAACAGATCAAATCTCTCACAAATAGAGGGAGGCTCACCAAAGAGAGGCTATCAGTAAATCGCATTGTTCTGGGTTTAAAGCAGAGAAAATGCCTTGTACAGAACAAACTTGTGCTAGTAAGAAACACAGGACACTTTCCAGCTCTGATTTCTGTAGTTCTCAGAATTAAGATGAAACAATTCTCCCCTTCTGTGACTGACAGATTATTAAACAGCCATGTATAAAGTTGCTCACATAAGCACCGCATTGCTCTGAAGCCTCTGCCGAAGCCAAACAAATTCTCGAAAGCGTCGTCTAACACAGGATGTCTTCCTTGTAAAGCATATACTGTTTGTCTGTTGGGAAATAAAAAAAAAACATTTTACTTTGTAAATCAGCTTAAGCTAAAGTGCAGGCATGGTATTAAAAACACATCCTAGATGCTATGCTAATGCCTGAAACACCAGTGGAAACCTTGACATTAATTCAGTTTATGTTAAGGACTGTGCTTTACCTCAGGCAGGACTGGTGACAGTCTCTACTGCTTCTCATGGAAATATATTTCATTGCTTTCTTTTTAAAAGCAATAGACCTGGATTACAGCACAACTCACAGTAACAGGAAAAAAAAGGCCTCAGTAAAAAAATTCAGCAGATAATATCAACCTTTGCAGGGGAAAAAGATCTTTAGCTAATCTAGTTAGAATCCTGCAAACAGCTACATAGAGTTCTTCCAGTGTGCAGTCCCATTTAAATCAAACCAAAGAAACCAATGTAACTGCTCTCCACAAGGAGCAGCACTTGGAATTTTTCCCACAGAACACTAGAAAAATGCCAATTCATCAAAACAGAAACAATTTGTGGAAATTAAATACTTTTGCCAAATTTTCCCATGGCACATACATTTAGATGAAACTCCATCTACCAGACAGGACTCCATTAGGAAACTGCCTGCAGTCCAACCTACCCTCCTTGCCTGCCAGGAGCCATGACTTTGACGGCCACAAGACGCAGGATGTAGAGGGCACAGAGATGACAACTTTCTGGAGTAGGTAAGCATCTGGGATACCTCACAGTTTAAGAAGCCAAATGCTCCAGGAGCTGGGTAGAAGGGGAACTCAACTGGCCTAAGAGCCTGGCAGATGCAATGCTTCAAATCCACTGAGAAGCCTGGATGGTAGGACTGACCTAGGGACTTGGTCTCTGAAAGCTCTGGCATTGTGGCAGTAGGAAGCTGAGCTGATGCTTAACAGCTTCAGAGATGCCCAGTGCAGAATCATATAACACTGCATGCTGGGTATGGCTAGGGTAGAGTTAATTTTCTTCACAGTAGCTGGTATGGGGCTGTGTTTTGGATCTCTGCAGAAAACAGCATTGATAAGTCAGGGACATTGCTGCTGAGCAGGGCTTCCACAGAGTCAAGGCCTTTTCTGCTCCTCACCCCATCAGCGAGCAGGCTGGGGGTGCACAAGGGGTTGGGAGGGGACACAGCTGGGACAGCTGGCCCCAACTGACCCAAGGGATACTCCACACCATATGACATCATGCTGAGCAATAAACTAGGGTGGAGGTTGGCTAGGGCTCAAGAACTGGCTGGGCATCAGTCGGTCGGTGGTGAGCAATTGTTCGCAATCGCATCACTTTTCTTTCTTGGGGTTTATTTCTCTCTCTCTGTTATTTTCCTTTTCCTTAAAATTATTATTGTTGTTGTTAT